CTCTTTCACCCTCATTACAAGGTTCCTTAATTCTTCCTCACTTTCTGCCATTAGAGTGGTATCATCTGCATATCGGAGGTTGTTGATATTTCTTCCGGCAATCTTAATTCCTCCTTGGGATTCATCCAGTCCCGCCTTTCGCATGATGTATTCTGCATATAAGTTAAATAAGCAGGGAGACAATGTACAGCCTTGCCATACTCCTTTCTCAATTTTGAACCAACCAGTTGTTCCATATCCAGTTCTAACTGTTGCTTCCTGTCCCACATATAGGTTTCTCAGGAGATAGATAAGGTGGTCAGGCACTCCCATTTCTTTAAGGACTTGCCATAGTTTGCTGTGGTCCACGCAATCAAAGGCGTTTGCATAGTCAATGAAGCAGAAGTAGATGGTTTTTCTGGAACTCTCTGGCTTTCTCTATAATCCAGCGCATGTTAGCAATTTGGTCTCTAGTTCCTCTGCCCCTTCGAAATCCAGCTTGTACTTCTGGGAGTTCTCGATCCACATACTGCTGAAGCCTACCTTGTAGGATTTTGAGCATAACCTTGCTAGCATGTGAAATGAGTGCAACACATTGTACCATTTTTTAAACTGGGAAGTCTGTATTTTGTAGCAGCTCATTTTCACATTACAGTGGTGCCTCGCTTAACAACCTTAATTCGTTCCAGCGAAATCGCTGTAGAGCGAAAACGTCATAAAGCGAAATAAAAAAGCCCATTGAAATGCATTGAAAACCTCTCAATGCATTCCAATGCGCTTAAAACTCACTGTCCAACGAAGATCCTCCATAGGGGCAGCCATTTTCGGTGCCTGTGCAGCGAGGAATCCGTCCCTAAGCACAGCGGGGGAGGGGCATTTTCTTCATCCGGCGGCCATTTTAGAACCCGACGATCAGCTGTTTTTTATTGTCGTAAAACGAAAATCGGTTCCCGAAGCAGGGAACCGATCATCACAAAGCGTTTTTTGCCCATTGGAATCATTGTTTTGCAATCGCAAAAAACTCACCATCAAGCAGATTTGCCGTTAAGCGGGGTAATCGTAAAGCGGAGCACGACTGTACTATATTTAGTTGTCATATATGACAACTGATTGACCTACATTTTCTTGATGGCTTTCAAAACTGAAAATAGTGGTTCCTAACCTTGGCTCCTCAGGTGTTCTTGGAGTAAAAACCCCAGAGTCCTTTACGACCAGCTGTGCTGGCCAGGATTTTTTAGAGTTGTAGTCCAAGAATGTCTGAATATCCAAAGCCGGGAACAGCTGCTGTAGGGTAATCTTTGTGCTGCAATTCCACAGAAATGTAGGAGAAAGGACAGAAATAATAGGCATATAATCCAGATTTCTGAGGATCTTGATGTTTATCCTTAAAAAGGAACTAGTTTCTATCCTTCACAGTTCTGAAGAAATACTTTAAAGGGTGCGGCTAATGCCTGCTGAAATTCAGAACCAAAGCAGTGACTGCTGTACAGTAACCAGGCATGTCAGTTTCCTTAATGTGAGCATGAATAAAGTAAGGTCATAGATCTTGCAGAATAAACTGTGCAAACTAAGAAGCTGTGCAACTTGCCAAAGTTGTGAAATCCAATTTTTCTAAGTGCAGCCTTGAAACTGTTTTTAGCCCCATCTTGACTCAAGCGGATAATTTTTTTTGTTCTTGTCTTCTGAATTACTTTCTTTAAAATAGAAAAGGCAATCAAAATGAAATGCACATATATAATATTTCCCTGTTTTCTTCTTCAGACTGTATCCTTATGGGAAGAAAGAATATTCACCAAAGGCTGCATTCCTGCTCTAGAAGCCTGGTTGCCCCGGAATATTTACATTGTGGCAGGAGTCTTCGTATCAATTTCATTATTGCAGGTGAGTAGTTGATAGCTTCTCATGGTAGGAGTATTTTATTTCTGAGCTGATGGGACTAGATCTTCTGCCTACTGTCTCACAGGCTGAGTGATGACTAATTTTTAGAGAGGAGTACTAATGGAGAGGTTGGTGAATGTCTTGACTATTTTAAAAGGTTCCTGAATTTCTCCCAGAGTGAAATTTGATGTCTGATTTGGGGTTTCTCCTGGCTGGATGATGCAGTGGAATTTTCAGAGCACAGGTACAGTTTTTCCTCTGATGCCAGCCCTTGACATTTACTGTTGCTTTATTAGATAAGCTTGTATCGAGGCCATTACTGGCTACAAAGAAGCACATCATGGAGTATCACATGTCCTAAGCATTAGACTGCACAACAAGACTTTGGAGAGTTTCCAAATCTTTGACAAAAGTTGCTACACAGCCTTGAGATCTAGTCCGTAGGTACCCTGAAGCTTTTGTAAAGGGATCTTGGTGGATTCTGTGAGAATCCACTAGATTCCCAGAAACTTCCAAGTGGCTAGCTTGTCTATTTCTATCCATATCAGATTGCTTCCTGCTGAAATATGTTTCTGCATCAGAACAAAGCCCCATTTAGTTAGGAATAGTTTCTAAGAATTCTCTCCATCTTTAAGAAGGTCTTAGCTCCCCAAACTCAAGATAAAGGCATTGTGCAGTGTGTGAGTTCAATAGTTCATACACCTCACATGAAGACATCAGCCTCCCAAGAAGCACTGAGGCTGTTTTCTTTTTTGTGTATTAGCAACAGGAAACACAAGCCTCTGAGGTAGGTTCTGTTTAAAGTGAGAGAAATGTTAAGTGTCTGGGATTCCTAGAATCCTGCCTGGAGGGAATTCATGGAGAATTATGGGAGCTCGGTTCAACCCCTGCCCCCCGAAAACCCTGAATGGCACACTCCTACACACAATCATTCGTATCATCTCCACTTTCCACCTGACTCAGTAGAATTAACTTGTTTGGATTATTCCCTCCAGACAGTATCGGGCCAATAAAATACTAGCTGGTTGATAACCATGTTGAGACAAGGGCGAGGGGAAGCAAAAGGACAAGGTTATGGTGAAGAGAGCTGGTTTTAGAGGCATTTTATTGTAGGAGTCCTTCTTTCTGCACCACCCCACTATCCCTGTTGCCTTTTGAAGGGAAAAGAAAAGGTTAATGCATTGTGGAAAGTGAACGTGGAAACCACTAATTTTCAAGGGAAGCTTGCAAAGCTTAAACTTGCAGTGAAACTGTAAAAGCAGTCCAATTTGAAACGAGAGTTAATGTTTTCATAGACTTAAGCACTGGAAATTGCATTGGAGTCAAAGCCCTCAAATCTGTTTTATTCAAAAACAAAAATAGCAACAGCTTGAAATGGGCAAGTAAAGGAGGCAGAATTTACCTCTTTGTTCATTTTTCTCTTTTGATAGCAAAATTGTGGGTTTTTTCCTCCCTCAAACTCTCTGTTGTTCTCTCTCTTTTTTTGTTAGATATTTGGAATTTTCCTGGCCAGGACACTGATATCTGATATTGAAGCTGTGAAGGCTGGCTTCCGTTTCTGAAGATAAAACTAGAGATCATCTGTAAAGGCAGAAGGATTCTCCTGACTCTTACTATCAAAGCAAAGAGAATGGAAATGAAACCTGAGACCTAAGAAAGGCTTGATTACATCGACAGCTGAAAGCCATAATACTACTTTAACTATATATAAATATATATATATAGCCAGAAACTGTCTTATTTACCTAGAAGCTAAAGCTGAGAAATCCTCCTCATCTTCTCACAATGCATAATTGTGAATTGTTTTAAAACTCTTAATTCCTTGGACGGAAGGGTTTATTATCTTCAGCCTTCTTTCTACACAGAATGTGAAGACTCCAGTGGGCAGCAGCGGATGCCAGTTGAACCCAAGTGCTGTCCAAGGACTGTTGTTTTGATCCTCCTTTAAAAGTAGCTTTAGTTTAGAGAGTGTTGCATTACAGATGTTGAAGAAAGAAAGACGCAGAATGCAAAATGATTACTCCAGGGATGAGGTGGTGTGGCATGAATGTAAGGAAGATACATGAAACGCCTTTGGTATTGAACACATGTTCAGGGAATACTGTGCCTGTTGACAAATTGACACATACACTGTTTTGAGCTAACTAAATGGGAGCCATATTTGTATAAATGGGGGATTTCCAAAGTTGTTTAATGTCTTAGAGGTGAACTTTATCAAAAGAAGTTCCTCTTATTTGGATCAGATCTGATGTATCCCTTTCAGATGCTGGGGATCTGAGAAAAACCTCGGACATACTTTAGAAGAACTTCTTTCGTACTGAAATATCCTTGTCTACTTGGATTTATGAAGAAATAATTATCTTTATGTCCCATAGCGTTGGACCACAGACCTGTTTGGAATGGTCAAGATGGAATGCTTATGTCTTTCCTTTTAGACTTTATGTCTGATGACATTATTTATAGGTGTTTGGACCAAAAAAAACCCCTGTCTACTTACAATTTTGCTAAAACTGTTTTACATAGTACTCATTTCTAAAACCATTTATCCGATGGACTGAAAAGTTGTTTATTTCGCTGACTACGAAGAAGCATATCTGTTTTCCCAGTTCTGCTTTGTTGTTGTTGTTCCGTATGATATCTTCTCCCTTTTAAAATATCAGTATGTTACCATTGTGGCCTAAGCAGATTTGAGAACAATCTTCAATCAATGGCTATACAACGTTTATGGGTAGGGACCCGTTAGCCATCCAAACAACTGGTATATGGCCAAATCCAGGTGGTATCTGGCACCAATGGCTATACAATGTTTATGGGTAGGGACCTAAGTTAGCCATCCAAACAACTGGTGGCCTGACTATGCTATATGGCCAAATCCAGGTGGTATCTGGCAGCACTGGAAAAAGGCAGCAATTTCCATTCAAAACAAGGCACACTGGGAATGGTTTTTTTCTTTCACGCAAGAGATCTGGGAAGATTTTGTTTCAGAGGAGAATTCCTGCTTTTTGCCATCACCATGTCGTTGGATGGAGACCACAGGTCATGGTGAGGGTGGGTTGTGAGGACCATAAAATCAGAAGAGGACTATATACCAGCCTCGTATCACTTATCACTACCTCAAACTCTAGTAGAGAAATACACATATGCTGAAATCTATAGATATGCAAGTTATTGGAGGGATTGGTGAGTAATGGATATGGATAAGGCAAGGTCCTTTTAAGAAACAAGAAGGGGCTGTTAAATCATTCTGACTTTCTGTGTGTGCTCTACTAAGCACATCAGGGCCATGAGCATTACAGGCTGCTGCCTTCCAGCATCGGGATATGTTTTGTGCCTTTGCTGCCCACCTGAGGCTGCTAAAAGAAAGAAGCTTCAGCCTTGCAGGCCTTGTCTATGGAAAAGAGTGGACTGTTTCACTTGGTAGATCATAAGTTAAACAAACATACCGTGTTTCCCCGAAAATAAGACAGGGTCTTATATTAATTTTTGCTCCAAAAAACACATTAGGGCGTATTTTCCGGGGATGCTTTATTTTTATTTTTTTCAGTCTACATTTATTCAAATACAGTCATGTCATCTTCTGGTTGCTGCACAATGGTGGAGGGTGGGGTTTCACTTAACTAGGGCTGATTTTGGGGGTAGGGCTTATATTAGGAGCATCCTGAAAAATCATCCTAGGGCTTATTTTCAGGTTAGGCCTTACCTTCAGGGGAACAGGGTATTCTAGAGCTGGGATGGGCAACTTATAACTCTCTAGGGGCATTTTTGTGTTCCCCTTGAACCTTGGCATCACCAGACCCTGATTTTTTTTTAAAGAAGTTCAAAGGTGCCTGAAGTCCTCTAGGGGATGTGGGCACCTTTTCATGATTGGATGGAACAGCATCTCTCCACCCCATACTCTCTTAAAAAGCTTTTTAAAAACTAGCCACTAGATGGGACAAAGGGGCATTTTCAGTTGGCTAAAGCCATTGTTTCCTTAAAGCAAACCCAGTGCAGCACTTCAAACAAAATAATTAGAACAAAATACGAATTAATCTCTTTGGCCACATCCTTCCCCCTTGGCAGGGCAGTGCTTGCATTACCAGCAAAACTGACCAATTGCCCCGAGTGAGGTTGCCTGGCTCTGCTCTAGATCTCCGGTTTCACTGCGGAAGAAGTGTTGCGTTTCCTCATTGAAAACAAAGGTTGTATTAGTTGGGCCTTGTGGGCCACATGATCTTTCATGAGAGTAGTTTAGGGCCACACTGGCTGAAATGAAAAGTGTTTGTATTCAGATTCTTGGACCATCCTTCCGTTTGCTCCAGTTTGAATGCCTCTACATCACTTTGGACAACAGAGGTGTTTCAAGGACCATTGGAATGACTCTTATGCTGAATTTCTTCCTGACAAGGGTATAGTACAGCCAAGACTGCAATCCTGTGGGGACTTTCTTCTGAGGAGACATGCACAGAGACGCACAATAAGTACGTATTTGGACTCGTTTGAATATAGTGAGATGTATTAAAAAGTGCTTAACTTTGGCTGGGTTTTCATTGCTTTTCATATTGGCCTTTATTTTCAGGAACTGCAAACTTTCTTACACTGTGTAGCACGCATTTCAAGGTCTATATGTAATTTTGTGTATTTTTCTTTTGCATGTAGATGGAAACCACAGCAGCAAGGGGGGGGGAATTCAGTGCATGTGTGATTCTGTTATTTATAGTGGAATATTTCATTGCCAGGAACTCTGTGCTACGATGTTTTACATAAAATTGGTGTTAAAGGAGATGTTACTAAAAGGTTTTATGAGCTCATGTTCATGGACTTGCGAAGATTATGTATGCAGAGATGAAACAGAGCCATTAGCGATTTGCTGACATGAAGAAAAGCAGTTCCTGCAATATTTGAGATGGTTTCCATGCATTGAAGAACTTTTTTCGTGAGCTATTGTGTTTCCTGGCTAGTTTTGGTAAGGAGGTGAATGAAGCAGGAGCCAGTATCTGCCATAGGACCTGGCTCATGTCTGAGATATAATCAACACTGACAAATATGTCTGTCAGTGTGGTTTCATATACTGTATCTCTGTCCTTCTCTGCAGACCGTCTGTGGGGTAATTTGGCCCTAGGTTCCCATTCCAAGCCCATGGGTAAGATTAATTTTTCTATACACGTTTAATGACTTCTTGATAGCTCTCATAATGGAAGTTCCTTGCAAAGACTGCTGTGGAAGTTCTCTGCTGTATATTTAGTCTCTGTGCAGCTGGCAGGGAAAAATTACTTGCTGGTTTTGCATTCAGGAAACAGCATGATTCCCAGTTACTGGTTTATTTTGTTGCACTGAATGCTTGCCTTCACGTTGCCCCAGGTAATAAATTCGGAGAAACGTTGCATAACTTAAGGCCCCATGGTAAGGTGTTCGGTGGCATGAGTTTTGGAAAAATATAGAGGAGGCTTGCAAATGATAGCACTTAGAAATCATTTTGAGGGTAATTTGCATATCCTAATTTGATCAATCTGCAGTAACCTGTAAGGGTTAAAGAGCCAGCAGGCAGATTCATTTGCTGATGAATATCAAGTAGAGCTGAGCATTTAGCTGCCAGCAGCCAGGGCTTGCTTAAGAGCTCTCCACAGTAAAGTTTTGCTTTCCTTTCCCTTGCTTGAAAGGATATCAGGACACAACCCTCGGGAAATGTTTCTTGATCAAGTCTCATTGAAATCAGTAAAGAGTTTTGCAAGACCAGGAGAGCAAATCTTCATAGTTGTACGTATGAAGGGTCTATAATTTTTCTCCTGAGCTGGTCCAAAACAGTAGGATCATATGCTAGCCAAATATTTCCTATCTATTAGCTGAAGGGCACATCTGTCACCACTAAAGGAAAAAGCAGAGCCACGTCACTCAAGAAAGCAAAAACAGATGTTTTTTAAAAAAATATATAGCCAGAGTGACAATGGACAATTGCCTCCAAGAATGCCTATTTAGACTTCCATAAACATCACCCCGAGTGGGATAGTGAATAAAGTGAAAGACTAAGATTTAGGAGCACCAGGTTTGAATCCTTGCTCAGGCATGGAAACTCACTGTGTGTGTGGAACTGGTCAATATCTCACCGTGAATACACTGTTTGGGTGACAGCACGTAAGAAGTAAACGCCATTTACTTAAAGCAAGTTGATGGGGTAGAAGGGTCTTCTGCCAGCTAGTTGCACCACCGTTGTCTCCTACATCCTGGACTTTGGTACCCACCTTACTGACAGACCACAGCAAGAAAATGTGAGGGCCATTTCTTCATGCAAGGGGTAACACAACTGTTTGGCTCCCACTTCAGGCAGGGGGTGTGCTCCACTCCCTGACCTTGCTATATATTTCCTTCCCCACATAATAAGAGGATAGCATTTTTACATTTACCTCTAGATATTGAATGTGTTCATGAGAAAGAGATCCATCAAAGATATCATAAAATTTGTCATAAAATTAGCAAAGGTAGAACAAGATTTAGAAAGGCATTCGTGGATTAGGCTTCTTTTGCTGCTGTGGATGGGAAGGACATTGTCTGCAAAGCTGATAATGCCACGGCTAAGAGAAATAGGGCATGACCATAGCTTTCAGCGTGGAGAATTGGGTAGGGAGAGATTTTCATGCCAATGTCGAGATGCCAGCAGTAGGTATAGCCAGAGCGTGTACACTTGCACAACATACATTCCCTCTTTCACAACACAGTGCCTTGCTCCGCCTCAGCTGAACTATCCATATTGTTCTATTTTCCCTGCCTGCAGCATGTTGTATTTCATGTCCAGTATCATTTCCCTTTCTCAGTGCTCAGCAGGTAGGGGATGAACTCTTTTCCCTTTTCTGTGGCAGGCTGGGGAAGAAGCTGGGATTCCTGGGTCAAAATCTTCAGGGAGGGAAAATCTCTTCATGTTCATTCAGTATGGTTTGAGTGGTCAAGCACCTCTCGAATTTTAAGTGTTAAGTACCTAAATCAAGGGAGCATCAGCACTGACATTCCTGCATCTGCATTTCACAGTTCTTTGCAATATGTATGACTGAGAGTATTTGACCTGTTCTGTTGACAGTAATAAATTAGAAAAATAAATCAGTGATGGGGAATATTGGACTCCCCCTAGTAGCATTGTCGGTGGTGATGAACTACAAGCAGCACAGTCCAGCAACACTTGGAGGGTCAAACATTCCCCATCCTTGGCCTGAATTATGCAAGAGTGCCTCTCTGCTCTGTTGTACTCTCCCTGGACTCATTTGCTTCTAACTATATACAGGAATGAAGCCTGATTCTACCAGGGACAGTCCGTGATGGGAAAGGCTGCCTTGCTCCTGTGCATACCATAGTTGGAGGCATTTGCCGTGCCGATTGCAGAGTAACCAAGCTAAGGATGCTTGAAGATTTGATTTGAAGCGGGTGTTTAAATAATGTGGGCAAATATGTGCATTGCAATGTAGTAAATATTGGGTTGCTACATTTTGCTGAATTTATTTTGCAGTGGAATGTTTATAAGCACACACATTCATGACTAAAGGTGAAATTTCATGCAGCTAAGGAATCTGGTACAAAAACAGAATGGAAAGGATTAGCGAAAGGGGGGGAAAACACACAAAAAACTATCACAAATGAAAAACAATCAGCCCTAGATGAACCAGACATCAGGGGTAGTGCTGAAGATTCAAAAAACACTGTGAAATGTGTCTTAACGTTTGCCTGAACAATGTACAGTATATAAAAAGACATTGTCATCAAACTTCAAGATGCCGATGACCAGGTCTGCTCCAGGACTAGCAATAATCTATTTGGATTCCTGGACACAACAGATTTAAAAAAAAACACAAAATGTACAGTTTGTAGCAAGCCAGTACTGAAATGGCAGTAGCACCTTTTGTGCAGAAAACTGATGGATAAGCAGGCTGATAATCTCCATTAGGGTCCTAGGAGGCTGTGCTCATCATTTAGTATCTGGAGAGCCATTAGAGCTTGTTTGGCTACATTACTGTTACTGTGGCCACAGAGTTTCTCAAGAGTTTCTTTCATATTGTCCTCTTCAGCTTCTTGTCTTAGGTCGCCTGAAAGAACAAATATATATTTTTAAGAGGGTGGCTTATAAGAGGAAAGGCTGAGCTCATGAATAAGAGGATCTTCTAGTATAAGGATTTGCCCAAGCCATTTGGTTTCGTTAACTATGAAGCACTGGGAGTAATAATACCCTCAACATGTAATTCAGACAATTGGGGGAAGGCTGCACAATATGATCAAAATATATATTGGGGGGGGGGGGTTTGAAGACACAGAAATGCATCCGGGACTGTTGGTTCTCACCCTGTTGTGTTGTGCTTGCCTATTTCCTCATATCGAATACTTTCACATCATGCAATGACAAATTCTAATTCACATACCACGTGTAGTGGAATTACCTGCATTCAAGAGGCTGCACAACAGGCCTATGGAATTATATTTCACCTCTGGACCTGTGTTTTCATCTTGAAGAAGTTTGTGTATGCTCTGCACTAGTCTGGCCTCTTTAAAATCTTCTTTGATGATATCTGCAAAGGAGAGGAATTAAGGTAATTTTCCCCCTGTGAAGCTGTTTCTAGTGATGAAGATCTCAATTTATGATGATCATTCAAAAAAAAAACACACACACACACACACACACACACACAAAACTGGAGAAGTGTTTTAATAGCTTAGTAGCTCTATTAGTTTTCACCCCAAAATATCCAAAGCTATAATGCAGGGCAGGCAATTTCTAGACATTTGGAGGCTGCAGCCACCCATCCTTGGACCTAGGAAGCCTGCACCCACTTCTATGACTCCCCCACACAATTTTTCCTTACCCCTTGTGCCATCTAGTAGGCAAAAAATGGGTATGGGGTCCCAGGAGTGTTCAAGACCCTTTAAAATTTGACACAATTGCGTACATGCCCCCTAGGAAAATTTCTCTTCTAGGCAAATTTTAAAATATATATTTTTTGGGGATGGTATTGGACACATTTGGGTCCTGCATACTGCGCACCCCTGATATGATGCCTGTTGGAAAAGCTTTCTTTCCCTCCAAGTCACAGGTTTTTCCCTAGAAAGCCACAAACCATTTGGGCTTCAGGGGGACCACGCTCTTCCACATGAGATTGACTCCAATCTTTCTGTGTTCATGTTCTCAGTACAGTACTCATCATTTGGCTCCATTTGACTGTGGTTGCCTAGTATATCACCTAAATGTAAGCTTCAGTTTTTCTGATACAGGGATCACCGTGCATTTTGGTGCATCTGCTCCCAACCAACACAGGAGCCATATGGTTTCTTGAAACAATAGGGAGGTAGCAAAGTAACTGGAACCCTCTTGTCTACAGAGATGGAAAGAGACAATTGATGCTGCATTCCCTGATGTGAAACTTGATATCGCTACATCTCAGGCAGACTCTTCAAGCTTACAGTTTCCACCACAGAAGTGAGTTTAACTTCAGATAGCACGGCTTCGCCATCTCTCCACGACAATGTTTAGACTTTCTGTCCCATGTAATGAACTGGCCTTTTAAGATTATCTATATTCCATTTAATGCCCACTCAAGGAACAGAGTCTTGGAAATACTTGAATACCTAAATTGACTGCAGAAGCTATAGCCAAGGCAATCAGTGCTTCATTCTGCATTATGGCATGTTCGCTGGTTGCCATAGAAACCAGGTGCTTGACCGCCTGAGCCTCTTCAATGGCTCTGACAACTTCCTGTTTATAAAACAAAAGGGATGAATCAATCAGATGTGTTTTTTTAAAAAAAGTAATAATAATTAGAGATTATGTCTTACTCCTGTCAATAACACAGGTTCTCCCCTATGATGAGGTGAAACATCTATCCTCTCAGGGCATTCCTTGAAGGATGGTTGCCTTCTACCCTGAGAAAATCGCAGCATAGAACGCTGTGTGCCTCATCCGAAACTGAGCTGACCAGTTGGGAGAAACCAAGATGACAACAATTCCTACACAACCAGTTGAAGCCTGACTAGGAGAAATCAGTTGAAACTTTTTATGATGGGTATCAGATCAAATGTCTGCATATCAAACTGTAATTGCCATGAGAACATGAGCTGGTCAAACAGCTGGCAACAATGGTGTATACCAGTGGTTCTCTACCTTGGGTCACCCAGGTCGTCTTGGACTGCAGTTCTCAAAAGCCTTCATCACCACCTGTGCTGGCCAGGATTTTTGGGAGTTGCAGTCCAAGAGTTGCAGTTGGGAGCCACTGGTGTGGCTGCTGCCTCTTGAGTGAGTGCCTGCTGAAGGAGACAGGGCTGGGAACCACCAAACACCTGGTCATCCAAAGGATGAACTGGCACAAACCACTGAACTTGATGGTTCATGCCCATCTTTAGAACTAATATGTCCATCATAGTGTCCGCATTTAGACAGTCACCAGTTACTCAGCCCTGACACAGACCCCTCTCTACAGTGAAAATACATTTTTTCTAAGGCTTTTTATTTTCTAGAGGACATGGTTGATGTTCCTCAGAATTGTTTCTCTGTTAGTTCAAAAGGATGATGACTTATAGGCAAACTGTGTCGGGCTTGCTTTATTTATTGTTGGAAGCACTTGTTTTTCTTTTTCTTTTTCGGAAAGACCGTCTATGGTGCAACATTTAAGATGCCTGAATGAAATATTGAGTGAACAGCATATATGTAAATCACCTTGGCTTCAATTCATTGTTAAACCACTTAGAAAAATGGAATGATCAACTTAATGTTGTTGGGTTTTTTTTAAAAAAAGATTGACTGAAATATGGAAATCAATTAAGCTGGAATAAATTGATGCAAGTGGAGCATAAATCAAGTATTTAACCAAATCCACAGCCAGTTAAAGCATTCTGATTGGCGACACAGATAACCAAACTGTAAACAGATTTTTTAAAAAAACATACCGTATTGTCCTGAGTATAGGCCGCACTTTCCCCCTCTAATGTAAGTCTTTAAACTAGGGGTGCAGCCTACGATCGGGATGTTGCATTTTTTTAAAAAAAATAGCACCAAACTTTAAGGGTGCACCTCAGAATCAGGAGCGACCTATACTCGGAACAATACAGTGTGTGAGATAGATAGATAGATAGATAGATAGATAGATAGATAGATCGATCGATCGATCGATCGATCGATCGATCGATCGATCGATCGATCTGGTAGTCTCCAGCTATTTGTTCATATCTTAAGAATATCCCGTCTATGTCTTGAAGTCAGTAGTAGAGATAGTGGTATTCATATACAATTTCAGTCAAGGTGTGCCATACAGACAGAATCTCAAATGTTAGGGACACTGTATTCTTGAAGGCTTTCATGGCCGGGACCTGATAGTTGTTATACGTTTTTCATGTTCCTGAGTTTTTTCTTCCTAACGTTTTACCAGTCTCTGTGGTCGGCATCTTCAGAGGACAGGAGTCAGAACTCTGTGCTCTTGTGCAGTTTGTTTGGATAGTTGAGTATTTAGTATTTATAATACTGTCCTCTGAAGATGCTGGCCACAGAGACTGGTGAAATGTTCGGAAGAAAAACCTCAAGAACATGGCCAGACAGCCTGATAAACCTACAACAACCATTGTTAGGGACACTCTTTTGTTTTCAAATGGCACAGATGAAGGAGGATAACATTTATGCGCTCTTGGGTTTACCTGGTAATAAAAAGGGCGAGCTGGGACACTAGCTCTTTAGCTTTGGAGGCAGTGTCAGATGGGAGCTGGAAGACCACAAGCCTAACCTGTTCTTGAGGAACACAAGTACTGGCAAGTTATGCTGCAGGAAGAGGAGATGTGTGGAGGGAACCATGCTTGAAGTTTGGATTTGGCCTTCATACCTTCTGCATTGATGTTCCCTACTAAGACCAGCAGGGTGGGGTAGCTAAGAGGTTGCTCCTTGTGAATGAGGTGAAGATTACTCTCAGCATAAGAAAATATGGTAAGACCATGCTCTCAGAAATGCGCCCATCCAAAGGTTTCAGAGAAGGTGATGCAGAACTTGATTAGCAGCCAGAGTTGCAAAATGAGATGCTAAACATCCATGGCAATTCTTGCAGACTTGATCAGACACAGTCTCCTGTCATACCTGAGATCGACTATGACGTATAAGTGATGCCAGCAGTCGGTTTGCTTCTCCGCAGACTCCAGCATGGTCTCTTGAATCACACCATTGCACCAATCTGTTGAGCAGCAGGGGATCCTGGCCTAGTTCCTCGGCTGCATCAGCTGAAAGACACAGATTGGAACATTTTCTTCATGGGCCTGAGCTGCGGCAGCTGTCAATTTTCCCCTCTCCCCTTGATTTTAATTGATGACTGCAAGTGGAGATATGTTTGAATAAATCCTTTATTCACTTCTTAGTCATGCATTCATAAGGGCCATTTATACATGCACATTTTAAAAATTGCTTAGAGCCTGCCTCACTGAATGTCTATTAAACAACTCACTATCTGCATGTACAGATAGTTCACAAGCAACAGAAACAGGTTTCATATAATCTCAAATGCAACATTTCATTGAAATAAAATATTCATTCATTCATTCATTCATTCATTCATTCATTTATTATGTACATAGCATTCAATCCATTATAAATAAATGGTAGTAAGAAACATCTGAGCAGTAAACAGCATTTGGTGGTGGGGGGGAATGAAGGGCCCTATTCTCATACATAATTTAGGTGAGCACAATGTTGTGATTAGCCACTGAATGTGTGAACTGCTTTTTTTCAGGCCTGTGGAGCAAATGGAGGCACTGCCTCCCCTAGAGCTGTGTGTTACCCTGTGAGGCTGGGAGTACCTCCACTCCACAGAGTGTACCATCCATCTCTACAAGAGGAAGCACTGAGGAATACCTGTCTACCATAATAGGAGATGTGCAGGGATTGTGTTTAGAGCAAAAGACACCAGAGGGGGCGATTCTGGCAGGAAAGATAGAGGGGTTAAAAGTAGAGAAGGAGGAGGGAGAAGGGCAGTTGGAAGTAGAAGATGAAGAGGCTTGTTAGGTGCAGGAAGAGGAGACAGTAGAAAGGAAAGAGGACGGTGGAGATAGTGCAAGAAGACCCCTGGACAGGGAAATAGGTAGAATTCAAAGTTCCAAGGGAATATGCAGAGAAGGAGTGGAAAAGGCAAATCTATAGGAAGCCACCTTATAGGGGGGAAACTGGAGAGAGAGAGAGAGAGGCGAAAGGAGTTCAAGACTTGGCAACAGTGGGAGGCCCAGAAAAGAGAAGGTCCGTGATGTATACAGAGTCCCTGGAAGCCCTGTGGAGTCAGTCTATTCGGGCCAGGTCTGAGACAGAACTCGGCAAGAAGGTATGGGAACCGCAGGTGGGCTGGGTTTTCCACCCTCCTCAATGATGCTGAATGACAATTTACCTGACAGATTGGGCCTGACCCATAAATGAAGTTGTAAAGTTCTAAGTTCTTTGCCCTTGTCGATAAAAGGGGATTTGTTACAGTTTGGAAACAGAAAAAGGTTTGATCCATTGTTAAAACATGAGACGGAAGACATTGATAATAATGAAGTGGCTAAGTTGTTGGATAATAAACCTGTTTTATTAGAAAAATTTGGTGTACATGACTCATCCTTCCATCAAAACATATCAAAGAGGGGAAAGGACGTTGAACAAGATCACAGTGGCGACCAATGTGGGGGCAAGTCCTTAACTCCTGATGCGATGTAACGATGGATGCGGTGGGCAACAGAACAACAATATGTCATTTTGATTCAACTATTAAATGAAGAAAAAGAGATGATGGATCAGATGATGAGAATACCAGGACAACCAGAAAAGAAAAATACGGAACCGGTGCTTGAAGAGCAGAAATTTATAGTGACGCCAGGATTTACACACGTAAAGTACAAAAGATGGGACCGGGCAATGATCCAGAGGCATTTTTACACATATTTGAAAGGGTGGCAACAGCAGCAAAATGGCCCCCGGAACAATGGACACTAATCCTAATACCTTACTTAATGGGGCTGGTACAAGAAGTGGTCGATACATTGGAACCTGAGGAAGTACTGTACAAGACTATGCCAAGGTAAAAGCAGCAATATTGGGCACCTTAGACTTGTCAGAGGAAGCCTACTGTCAACGCTTTAGAGGGCTATGATATAAAGTTGCCATCCCACCACACACCTTGTCACAGCAAATGAAGGCAAGCACAATAAGATGGGTATGATCGACAGTACACAGTACAGACCAGGTGTTGGAGCTACTGGTTACCGAACAACTAATAGCAACACTTCCACCTGACGTCAAGAGATGGGTCTTGTGTAATCAACCAACCACACTAGAGGCAGTGGTCACATTGCTAGAGGCTTCCGCCTGAGCAGAGGAGAGAGGCAGCTACTTCATGAGCCCAATGCAGGAGAAAAACACAGAGAAGATGGTGTATGCGGCAGCAATCAACTTGAGAACGAAAGCCAAAAGCCCAATGATTCCAGGAAGCCAAAGACCAACACCAGCAAACCTGAGAGGCACAAAACTTCGTTACAGCGGGGTTAGATTCAGAACTGCAGATGCCAGGACTACCACCAAATGCAAGGAGAGAAGGAAAGAGAATCTACTATGGCTGTGGCCAGGAGGGACATTTCTGGAGAGAATGCCTGGTAGAGGACTTTGTGTGGGCCTTGGCCTTCATGGCCGCAGGCAAGGTGGGTGGTGGAGAACACCTGGTTGGGAGGTAATAGGGCAGGTAGAAGGTCATACATTTAAGGCCCTCATAGACATGGGGTGTAGTAGAAACCTGATTAGATACTATGCGGGCTTGAGATATGGTGGATGAATGATGGTACGTTGTATTCATGGAGACATGAAACCATGTCCAAGGATAGAAGCAGAGGTGACCATACAAGGACAGAAACAAAGATTGTGGATAGAAGTGGTACGAAATTTAGTCCATGAAATGTTGTTGGGAAGGGATTGGGAAGGAGTCAAATGACTATTGGTGAAGAAATTGATAACCGCTGAAGGACTAGCAGGGACCAAAAATATCCAAGGGGTGTCTAAGAAACAAATTATAGCCTGGCAGCAAGATGAGCCAGACCTACAGAAGTTGTTACAGACTGCGACGCCGGAAAATAGGGAAAGTGGGCGTGAAGAACAATCTTTGCTAAAGGAGGGACTACTATATTATAAGAGAAAAGAGCCACTAGAAAGAAAGTTGTTAGTAGTCCCAGCTAAACTAAGAGCCACAGTAATGAAGTTGGCCCATGATATCCCAGTAGCTGGGCATTTGGCAGTTGACAAAATGTTGGCCCAAATAAGACAAAGGTTTTTCTGGCCTAATTTGAGCAAGGAAGTGGAAACTTTGTTTTTTATTTTTGGTATGACAGAACATGACAGCCTCAATTTAAAGCACAACATCATCTTTTAAGGGCTGGAGAACTCTACAAAATTCAGGGAATAAAAGACAAAACTACCCCAGAAAAACACACACACAAATCTCACTCAATACTCACTGTTGAAAGTAGATTTTTCATTACCACAATGACCATGGTTATTAAAATGGCCATAAACCAAACAGTCTACAAAATAACCAGAGCCTTTTATAATTAAATGGTTTCAGATTTAGTAGTATTCCAGGATGAGAGTGAAGCTTTTAATATGAGAAAAACTGTTTTTGGTCCTGATGCCAGCAGTGGGACCATGGGTGGAAATTTTCAAGCATTGAAGGCTCCTCCCCACCATCCTGAGAGTCCCAAAGGCTCTCTCAAGGTCAAAAGAGGTCCCTAAGGAGCCTCAAAACTTGGGGGTTGGAATAAGAAACATTAAATTACAGGTTAACATTGGTGTCTGATGACATCATGACCATTTATGATTGCAATGTTGCATGAGAGGATCTCAGCCAATGATAATTTTCCATTAGATCCTTCAAGATAGTAAAAGAATTACAGGAGCTTAACTGCACATGGGAAACATAACCCAAAGGACTTAAGAAAAGAGTGGTAACTGTAAAAGAGAGTACTTTTAACAGAAAAGGTTGGTGAAAAAAAAATGAGGCAGAAAGTGAACAACTGGAAATAATATATTTTGAAATCATGAATATTTTTTTCTTACTGAAATGAAAAAGAAATTTCTGAAAGTCATAAAACATAGTACAGTGCATCTGCTGATGACCAGAATTTTGAGCAAATAAATCTACTTAGCTCCACAGGAATCACATTTCTGCTAACAAAAGGGGTTTCTGAGGCGAAACATTTCTTATTTAAATGTTTCTATTGAAAAATATTGTTTATAAGCCTGTTTTAAATTTCTGGGTACTTACATCTCGTTTTCTGAGGCAAAACATTTCTTATTTAAATGTTACTATTGAAAAATATTGTTTATAAGCCTGTATACAAGTTCTGCCTGTGGAGTATATACTTGGCAGTCCATTCACACATACAAATATCATTCAAATTGTGTAGTAACTGAGTGGGAGACTTAGGTGTTTGAGTCGGTTCCAATTGGATTGGCCAGCCGGATAGCTTAGTGAGTTATGTATTATATGGTTGTGCAGCCAGAGGTTGGGAGTTTGATTCCCCCCTCCCCCAATGCCTCCAAGGAGAAAAACCAGCCTTGGGGAACAACACCATCCCAGAGTACTCTCCAGAAGACGGCAATGATAAACCATTTCTAAGTACTCTGTATTTTAAAAAACTCCATAAAGAGTTACTGGAAGTCTGTACTAGAGAAGGGGATTAATTGAAAAAATGGTGATTCATCACAATTCATCATTCATCAAAGTTGACAATTGATGAAGCATGAAATTTTAGCAACGAATCGACAAATATTTGTGGATTTGTCACTAGAACACAATGCCCTGCCAAACGGCTGATTGGTGGGATATTGACAAGCACAGTGGCTGCAGCAACAGAAACCCTGTTTCCATTCCTACAGCCAGCCTGCACGAAGGGACAAATAAAAATGGTAAATATTAATCCCTTTGTATTCATTGGGACACTGGAACTGATTAATATGATGGGATGAATATCCCACAAATCAGCAATATTTCATGAATATCATTCATTTTTTAAATTTATCACCATGTCTAGTCAGAACTGACGTGAAAGCGCACAGTTAATTCAGGAAGACTAATTTAAGATCAAAATGCGAGTGTTGTTGAAATTTGATTCATACAGAAATGTTTCTCAAGAGAACTTTCATGGCCAAGCACATACATTGGATATCCTACTATATTGGTTATTCAGACATGTAAACAGTTGCAAACAGCTTCTTTATGTTGGTGCTCCTGAGAAATGATTGGTGCCAAAAGTTGAAAATTTTAAAAAAATTAAAAGAAGAAGCCTGTCTTTCTAAATTCTGCAGGCATCAACGTGTCTCGTCATTGTCACAGTAATGAATTTATACTAGATAATGCAATCAACTAATTTAGCAGGGACTTGTTAGAAGACACATGTTCACAGGAGTATATTGCACTGAGTTAATTAAGGTCAATGTTGGCTCCCGGGTAAATTGAACAGATGGCAATTAAGACAAGAGGCTTGAGCTCACTGCCACAGAAGGGTAAATCTTAACTAAAAGTTGGGTATGTTCGTTCCTCCCACCCTGTGCTTTATGCCCAGCAGGACAGCTCATTTTGCTTTGAATTCCAAGAATACTTTCTTTTGAAGGGCGGGAAGCTGGCCAAGATGGGGCAGGGGCTTTGCATGCTTTTCTGTTGCCTTGGGTAGCATCAGAAGGAACTGTTGTAGCAAGAAAAGAATGAAACTGTCGTGTTAGTCTCCCCACGTTTCAGCACAGCTCCGCCTATTCAAGGAGTCCTCTGGTTGGGACTCCCTCATCTATACGACCAACCAGGTCACACCTGCAGAGGTTGCCTATATTCTAATGCTTAGATTCAGGTAGGTCAATTTGTGTATTATTTAAACCAGGTGCATTAATAGTTGCATTGTTTTCCTACTTCCAGCATGTTTCTTCCTTGTTACCATATTGAACGTTAGCACCAATGTGAGTATTGAGAGTGCAGGAAAGCTGACATGGTTTCCTTGGACCAGTCAGTATCTTTTAGCTAAGCCTCTCTTGGCTTGCAGGGTTGTTGGGAGCATAAATGGAGATAGGAGAACCATGTAAACCTACGATGGACTGCTCTGAGATCCTTAATAAAAGCTTAGCCAGCCATTTGATCTTTCCATTGCCGCCTCGTCCAAAGCCATGCTTGTGAAGAATGGCTTGCATCCTGATGTCAACAGCAGGGGTGACTGATTAACCCATTGTGAATTTATGATCCAAACCCTGTAGAACTGAATGCAGGCTGTGCCACTATAAATTTCTAAACATAGACACTCTTATATAGCTGGGTGGCAGTCACTGGTCTGCAGGGACAGCCCAAGTTGAGGCTTAGCTACTTGAGGCAGAGCAGCAAATGGTGCTACTCACCTATGTTAATTTGCATAGTTCCCAAACCTTGGCAACGCGTTGTGGGACCTAAAGCAAAAAAATCTCATGGGCAACATTTATCCTTCCTTCCGTCTTCTTTTTCGCAATTGAATTACAATGGCAATGACGTAAAGGAGTAAGAAATTAATACCCATTTGTGACAGCTGAATTCTGATGCCTACGGTTCCCTCCCTCACTCTATCTGCTGAGGGATGCTGAAGGTGGCTTCTCACATGACAAAGCAAGAAGGTGGGCTCTGCATCAGATCTAATGGAGCACACAGGTATGGCATGGGAAACAAGAGGCGACAAGAATTGGATTCTACTTGGCTTCTGTGAAGTCACTCTACAGCTATTTCCTGTTGATGAAAGCTTACAGGACTGGAGCCATAAAACACGTCCCTCATGTCAACTTCATGAGGGCTCTGACAGTGCCTTGTCTGCTGCCTTGGCAAATCTAGCACCTGCCAACTCTTTCTAAATATATCAATCATCCCTTGCTGTCAAAAGACCTTAATGGGCATCTTGGCTCTAGTGTAGAATTCTGATGTGCCGAACCTGCACTTGTAAGAGAATAAACCTCCTACTATATGATTGTGTGCAAAAGCGCTAGGAAGACATTCATCACCAGGGGTAGATGAGATACCGATAGAACTATTTCAAGCCACAGAGACGGAATCTGTCAAAATCCTAACAGCAAATATGGAAAACAAAAGAATGACCCGCCAACTGCGAATGCTCAATGTATATTCCAGTTCCCAAGAAAGGAGATGCCAAGGAGTCCAGTAACTATAGGACAATTGCTTTGATTTCCTATGCAAGCAAAGTGGTGCTCAGGGTGTTGCAACAAAGGTTTTTATTTTATAGGGAGTGAGAACTGCCTGATGTTCAAGCTGGGTTTTGAAAAGGAAGAGGTACTTGAGATCACATTGCAAATATCCTCTGGCTACTGGAGAACACCAAAAATTTACAGAAGATCAATTTATGCTTAATAGACTAAAGCAAAGCCTTCAGCTGTGTAGATCATGAAAAACTATGAGTTGTTCTGCAAGAAATGGGTATGGTGAGTAACTTGATTGTGGACAAGAAGCTCCTATAAGGACAGAAAATGGAGAGGCAGAATGGTTTCCTATAGGCAAAAGTGTCAGACAAGGGTGCATTTATCCCTTTATCTGTTCAGTCTGTACATAGGACACATCATATAGAAAGGTGGACGAGACTCAGATAAAGGAGGAATGAAAATTGGTAGAAGAAACTTCATTAATTTAAACTATGCAGATAACACCATCTTACTGACAGAAAGGCAGCAATGACTTGAAATGACTGTCAAGTAAAGTGAAAGAAGAAAGTGCCAAAGCAGAACTGCACTGATCGTTCAAGAAGACAGAAATCATGAACAGAGAAGAACTACACAATGTTAACACTGACAATGAAAAAATTGTAATAGAGATTTTGATAATATGTTGGTTCAGTCATCAATCTAAACAGAGACTGCAGCCAAGGAATGAGAAGAAGACTGGGGCTTGGAAGGGCAGCAATGAAGGAATGAGAAAACATCAAGTGTAAAGATGTGTAACTGGAAACCAAGATCATCCATACTCTTTTATTTCTAATCACCATGTACAGGTATGGAAGCTGGATGGTTAAGAAAGCTGACAGGGGGAGGGGAAGGTTGAAATGCAGTGCTGGAGGAGAGCTTTATGGATACCCTGGACTACCAGAAAGATGAACAAGTGAGTCCTAGATCAAATCAAGTCTGAAGGATATCTGGAGGCAAAAATTTTGAAACTGAGTTTGTCCTATTTTGGGCATGAGAAGGAGAGATGATCTGGGTTGGAAACTGAGTTTGTTCTCAGTTCTCATGCCTTTGGGCATGAGAAGGAGAGATGATCTGGGGGAAAAAGATAATGCTGGGAAAGGCCAGCAGAAAAAGAGGAACCAATGCAAGATTAATTTTTATTTTATTTTATTTTATTTATTCAATTTATACCCTGCCCCCCTAGACAGCATCTACTCAGGGTGGCTTACAAAATCATAAAATATCATAAAATAATAAAAACCAAACAATCAAATAAACAACATTCGTAATAAAAACATTTGAACATGAATATAGCGTGATCAAGATGGGGAATAAAATATTTGAACATGAATATAGCATGATCAAGATGGGGAATAAAAGAACAGAAAAGAAAGAATTCAAGAATTGACATGAGGGAAAACTGCCTGAAGAGCCAAGTTTTTAAATGGCTCTTAAAAACACCCAGCGAGGGAGCCAGGTGGATCTCTGATGGAAGGCTGTTCCAGTCAAGGGGCCACTGCCGAGAAAGCCTGATTTCTTGTTCTTTCTTTCCGGGCCTCTCTCGGCGTTAGGCCCCTCAACCGACCCTCCTGGCTATAATGAGTAATTCGGGTAGATCTGGGTGGGAGAAGGCGATCTGCCAAATACCGAGGTTAATTGACTCTCAAAACAGGCTTGAGCTTGCAAGAGCTGATTAGAGCTGTTGAAGACAGGACATTTTGGAGATTGCTCATTTGTGGCACTTCCATAAGTCAAGGGAGACGTGACAATATAGAACAACAACATTTGACAGTATAGTATTATCCCCAACAGTTTGAAAATAAGACCTAAAAAGTTCCTTGTTGGCCACTCCTTGGGCCTTTCCTACCTTGGCCATCCATCAACATTCGTAGCGTGCCAAGAAGTTTAAACTGAACAGGGGGCATCTCCGACCTCAAAAGCATCTGGATCCGCTTGCAAACCCCATCATCCAACATCTGAACTTTGTTAGCCACTGGAATGTGGGAGGAGAAACCAGACATTAATTTGTGGAACTCTAAAATATAGTATCCGAGTACCAAGTTGTCATTAAGCAGCTAAAAATTGCAAAAAGTCATGACCGATGTGTTCTCAAATCTGTACGAGCAATGCCTATAGAGCAGAACATTTTGGATGACCTGCTACATAGTATTTAAAGGCTCTATTTAAGATGTACTTAAACATTTTATGACATTTAGATCAACTATATTAGAGATTTTTGTTTAGAAGTCTTCTGATTTAGAAACAGAAAACCTAGTTTAAAGTTACCTAAGTACTTTCACGTGATCCATACTAACTCTTTATTAGGCCATTAAAAGGGAAATGGGGTAGAGTTAAGGATGTTTGAACCCTGTGTATTATGTCAATGATCCCATCCAGTATTTATAAATAATTTCTATGTGTGAGCTAACTATTGAATACTAAAATATGGTGTCAGAGCAGTTTTTTAGACTACAGTTCCCAGAATTTCCTAGACAGCATAGATGAACAAATATTTCCTCACATTTTAATATTTGTATGTCTCCTTTAGAAAATATATATGAATTTAATAAGTTTATTGTGTTAGTCTTACTAATTTCTCATATCTTAAACAAGAAGTCTTGTCAGTCATTTGCTCAATTTATTCGTACCCTACTCTCTTCCTAACAAAGAGACTCAAAGCAGCTTAGAAAAATTGTGAAAATTGGAGCCCCAAATGATGAATATCTTTCTCACAAGATGAGTTTTTGTGGACTGGAAAAGGGCTTTATTTGTTTCTGCTCCTGAACTGTGAAATCACCTCCCACAGGAGGCCAGTCCAGCCTCGTCCCCATCTTTGTTGTTCTTCTGGAGACAGGCAAATTTCTCTTCAGTCAGGCTTTCATCTAGTAACTGGTGTAAAGACATGGGATGGAACCCAGTCGGGATGCCAGAGTCATAAAATAAAATACTAGAGATGTTATCAAAATCACAGGCTTTAGGAGAAGCTTTCCAACAGATGGCAAATACACATTTCAAAGTGTCCCCTTAAGCATGGCCTTGCAAATTCCCCATCTGGTGTAGGAGGGGAGGGACTGCAGACTCTGGCCTGAGTCCCTTCATATGCAGATTCACACAGGAAAGAGTTCACCTCGACAGATCAACCAAGTGCCTAGATCAAACCCCTTCTGATCTGCCTGTTGGCCAGAGAGAAGCTGGAAAACACAAAAGGGTGGCAACCTTAAAAAACAGAGGCACTCTTGCCTTCCCAAGGGCAGAGAGAGATGTGATCACTGCAGATGTAGATTCTTAAGGGAGAATCAACATGTCTCCTCATAACTAAGTAGAGCACTCCAACTGCCTAAGCCGACCGCCTGAGCTGGAGCAGATGGAGAACCTAGCTACATTTAAGACAGCTGTATTCTTTAGCTAAGCCTCTTCCTTTTTGCTGTTGTTTAGTCATTTAGTCGTGTCCGACTCTTCGTGACCCCATGGACCAGAGCACACCAGGCCCTCCTGTTTTCCACTGCCTCCTGGAGTTTGGTCAAACTTCCTAGTTCAAGCCTATTGTTAGCTTAAGCCTTGCACTGTTGATTAGCATCCTGTATTTCCCAATTGCCTTTCTCTTTTGATTATGCCTTTTATCTCCTTTTGTTCTTAATAAAACTACTCTAAGAAACAGTCAACTGGTAGAGGATGTGTTTGTCTTCTGCAGAGCTCGGGGGGGGGCAGGAGCATTGGGTAAGGGACTTCTGGGTTTTCCCATCCCAGCTGTGGGATTAAATTAAATTAAATCAATGCCAACAAAAAAGAGCTATTTCTGTGATCCATGGCCATTCATGGTGAAGCCACCATAGCATTCTTCACAGTTTTTTAGAAGTACTATGGAAGTGCAAGGAGGGGAACTGAGCCCAGGACTCATGTGAGGAAGGGTGGGTATAAAATAAGTCAACAACAATAACAACATTCCGAAACACATGAAAATAACCAGCTGAGGCAACCACCATTAGCTAAAAGTTTAGTTCTTTCTGTACATTGTTAATAACAAAGAAACAACGGGTGGTTTGCCAAATGAAAATGGGTACAGTAAGAAAAAGTTTGGGAGTCAACACAGTGGTGACCATACTCTTTGCTTCAAGCTCAGCAGGTCTCATACAACTTCACAACTTCTTCCTTGTCATCCCATCTCACAACTTCAAGGATGCAACGCTTGAAGATACATAACAGCAGACTCTCTTGGACAGCAATGTCTACAACTTACCAAGCAATTTCCTGACAGCCTGTGTGCTCTCTTCTTTGCTGAGAGCAAGTCTGGCAGGTAGGATCCCTTGCTGGCATCTTTATCCTACTAGGAATCTAGTGGGTAATTAACTTGTTTGTAATTTCCTCCAGCTTTGGCAGCAGAAAGCTAAAACCATGAGCCCTTGACTGTGTTAATATTTTCAAACAAAGCCCTCTGGACAGGGGTCTGAACATTTAATCACTTATTATTGCCCCTTGTGCCTGTCTATACATTTTTAAAAGACTGCATCTAATTGATTTTATTTCATGTTTCACTTGACTTTTTCATCTACAGCAATGTTTTGGCCCCGTCCCTTTCCTACAAGGATATTTAGTTAATTAGCAAGGCATATTATTACTACACAAGGCCCAGTAACAGGCCTTGTTCTATTGTTTTATGCTTTTGCTTTAGGTTTGAAAACATTTGATTAGAGAATTTGGCATGGTTCATTTTCCTCCATGTTCCCATTCTCTACACAAATTATTTCTGGTATTTTTGGTCTTCACTTCTTTTTCTTACTGCATTTTCAGCTCTCCTGTGGCATTTAATTGAACACAAGTAAAACAAACAGAATAGTGTATACTATAGTCCTCTAATACAGAAAGCCCACTTTTTCACAAATGTTTTCTCGATTACAATATTTGATAGACAAAGGAGCATACCTTTCTTCCTAAAGTTTAATTTTAATAAATAATTCACCTATTTTCCTTACTAATATCAGATTTGCTACTCCTTGCTGTCACTACACATTACTGAGGAGTGGTTTCTGCCTCTTATAGTTTTTTATTCTGCAATTAAAAAAAGAAAGAAAACGTAAAAAAGGTGTTTTTTTTAAAAAAAGAAATCTAAGGAATAATAACTACAGTGGTGCCTCGCATAGCGAGGTTAATCCATTCCAGATTAACCTCGCTATGTGAAAACATCGCTGTATGGAATGGGGAAAGCCATTGGAACGCATTTAACTTAGTTTAATGCATTCCAATAGGCTCCAAAACTCACTGTTCAGCGAAGTTTTCTCACAGCCGGCAGCCATTTTCGCGCCCTCGGTAAGCGAGGCGAGGGTGCGAAAACGCTGCACGTGGCCATTTCGGGGCTTCCGGCGGCCATTTTGGAGCCGCCGAACAGCTGATCGCCAGGCGTCGCAAAGCGAAGATCGGTAAGCGAAACGCTTACCGATCTTCACTATGCGAGTTTCGCCCATAGGGGCCATCGGTATGCGATCGCATTTGCAATCGCAAAACCCTAATCGCTATGCGATTTTGTCGTTATACGGTGCGCTCATTAAGCGAGGCACCACTGTACTGCAAAAGCAAAGTGTGCTGCTTATATACCGCCCTATAGTGCTTCAAGCAATCTCTGGGTAATTTACAAGTTAATTATGCAGGCTACACATTGCCCCCCCCAGCAAGCTGGGTACTCATTTTACTGACCTCGGAAGGGTAGAAGGCTGAGTCAACCTTGAGCCGGCTACCTGGGACTGAACCCAGGGTTGTGAGCACAATTTTGGCTGCAGTACAGCAGTTTAACCACTGCGCCATGAGGCTGTTACTATTACAAAAAAATAATCATCATATTTTACTTGTGAAATACCTGTGATTCATAAATATCCTCTTTTAATAAGTGATTGCAGAGAACATACTAGCTTCTATTGTTACCCAATGGTCACCTAGCCAAGAATTGTCTACCACAAGGGTGAGGAACATGTATCCCTCCAAATGTGAGACTGCAATTTCTACCATCCCACCTTGTTGGCTATGTAAATTAGGGCTGATGGAGGCTGTAATTCAACATGGCTGCACATTCCCTACCTACGGTCTACTCTCATAAGTAGCAAGTCTCCCAGGGTCTTAGGCAGATTGCTTGGTAGCTGATTTTTTTTTTTCCAACAGGGGACATTCAGTGTGTAACACAAGCACTCTGTTACTGAGCTACAACTCCTCCACTGTATAGACCATGGGTTAAAAAAATAGAAAGGAAGTGCTGTGTTTGCATTTTATATCCATCAGTGTGTATTTACATGCATGTGCACTGAAAGAAACATGTGCAATAGTAGCCAAATGGCATCTATCCATCTGGAAACCAGAAGAAAACAAGTGCCCACCTGTACACGAGAACATTTTGAAAAGGAAGGACACACACACACACACACACAATTTTCCTTATAGTTTTATTTGTACCTGGTATAGCAAGGTTGCGGAGAGCACTTAGTGCAGCATGTTGAACTGACACATCTCCATTTTCTACATGTTTCTCTAAAAGGTCTAGAAGCTGATGTACCACTCCAAGCTGCACCATCCGGACACAATTGCTGTCTTAAAGAAGTGGGAAAGAAAGAAACAAATCAAAAGGTTTGTACCCAGGAGGCTATATATTGATATCAGTAATGGTCTATTTTGATAAGACATTTAAGAACCACTATTTTAGATCCATGACCTGGTGACCATAAGAATTAAATAACTTTATGAATTTTTTTTTTCTCTCCTCCCTCCTCATCCCCTTTTTTCTCTTGTGTCCTGCCATTCTGGGAGCAGAGGCTATCTTGTTTGTTGTTTTTTTAAAAAAAAATTATTTAAAAAGATCAACAACTTCTACAAATTTAATCTAAAGGTTGTCACAACAAGTCATTCACTAAAACACGAGAGACAGTATCTAAAAGCAGTGCTCAATTCCAGCTTAATAGTAATTTATTTATTTATTTATTTGATTTGTACCCCGCCTATCTGGACTACCAGACCACTCTAGGCAGCTAATCTTCATCATCTTAGAACTTCAGAGCTGGAAGGGACCCTGTGGATCATGAAGTCCAGCTCCAGTCAAAGAAGCACAGTGAAGATCTCTGGACCCGCAACTAGTTACCTAAGTCATGCCGACATGTAAATCATGCAAGAAATATCATGCAAATTAAAAATGTTTGGCTACAACCCTTGTAAGGACGGTTTGCTCATATATATCTTGAATCTGGCTAAAGTGGTCAAACCAACATCTCAACAGGCAAGATTATACACAACATGATCAGATGTCATTTTTTATTGGTCAGTAGGAGAGCTGAGCAAAAACTCTTCACATAAAGAAAGAAAGAGGAATCCTTCCTTACCATTCCGGGCAAAATTGGCAATAGCCAGGGCCCCTGTCAGTTGTAACTGGTTGTGTTTGGATGCCAGCCACATGCCAACATTCTGGTAGATAACACCCTGCCCGTCTGCAAACAACTGCTGCATGGATTCATCTGTATAACATGAATGGAGATAGAGGGGACTGATAGAACTGTCTGAGCCTTTTTTTTAGGCTGTTAAAACATACACACAAACACAGCTGTCTTTTCTCTAATCTGATCTACCTGCAAATAGCTGCCAATGGTCATTTGATGTCCCTGAAACCCTGGAATGTGGGTCAGGTCCCTTTGCTAGTATAAGAGCAATGTAGGGAGGAAGGTGGAGATGTGATCTTAAATACAGCCAGTGAGAAAAAGACCAAAATCTTTAAGCTGCCTGTCAAGAAACAGCTTTCATAATCTTTGAAAAACAAGCTTCTGCTGGGAGAGGACAAATACTATTTTAAGCTCCATATCTCTCTCTGCCTGTTTGCGTCCCCCTACTCTGCTTGTTTATTTGTAGCACATTGTAACACACCACAGGTTTGTACCAATATCGCCTCTCTGAAACATTGATCTTGGCCTTGAACTCCCTGTCACTGGGAAGAAAAAGATATGAAACAGATATGTTCGTTCACACTTCACCTGACTTCTTAGCAACCCAATGTAATGCTAATGGCCACAGACCTATAAAGCAGATCCCTGTTAAGGTTCAACTGTATGCAGGGTCATGCCAGATAATTTTGTTCCCTGAGATAGAGGATAAAATGGTCTCCCTTCCAACGTTCTATGCAAAGAATCACCCCTGAATGATGATTGAACCTGACTTCAATACTACCAACAGCACAGAACTGTCCATCACATCTGAGGACAACAAGATAGCTTAGGACACTGGTTCTTAACCTTGGGTTACTCAGGAGTTTTGGACTGCAACTCCCAGAAGCCTTCACCACCAGCTGTCCTGACTGGGGTTTCTGGGAGTTGCAGTTCAAAAGCATCCGAGTAACAAAGGTTAAGAACCACTGGCTTAGGAGATGTAGGGAAGGCCACACATTACCCATATCTTCAATCACTTAATAACTGCCCTCTCTTTTTTCAGGGTCTGTTGCCTGAGGCAACCACCTCCATTTGCCTGATAGTAGGCCTGGCCCTGGCTGCATCACAGTTCCAAGAGAGCATTAAGAAAATGTAAACTCTTGCAGCAGGCGCAAGGTTTAGCTGCCTTTTTCATGTGCAAATACATCTTCTGGGTGAGGGGCTTCCTTTTTGGCCTAGATGGCACAGTGCTGGTGTGAACATTTCTTCTGGAATATTTACCATGAGAAGACGAGAATGGTAAACCACTTTTGGGTGCTCTCTATGTAGGAAACCCTGAAAAGAGTCACCGTAAGTCAGAACTGACTTTACGACATACAGTTATTATAATAAGCTGTATGTAGAAAGTTTGTTCTGTCAAAAAAAAAAATGGCTTGTAAATATAACAACTAAAGAAGGCAAACACTTTCACAGTGGAGATTTATTGCCTGAGTAGGAGAAATGCCTGCAGGAATTTTGAGAAATGGTCTTACAACTCAATGAATACAGAGAAGACATTTGGTCTGTATCTGGACCGTGCTTCTACACAAATCACTGGTCCAACAGAAGGAAGCATTGCTGGTTAACAAAAAGATGCTATTCGATCAATCTATATATTATTTTCAACATGCAATAGAAACTTCTCAATCTAACCTCATAAGGAGCAGCATTATACTGTACTATCAGATGGAGTATTTATCTGCTAGTCCTCAGAACAGTCCTGAACCTTGGCCTAGAGCAGGGGTCTCAAACTGTGGCGGATCAATCTATATATTATTTTCAACACGCAATAGAAGCTTCTCAATCTAACCCCATAAGGAGCAGCATTATACTGTAATATCAGAGGGAGTATTTATCTGCTAGTCCTCAAAACAGTCCTGAACCTTGGCCTAGAGGCTTCTCAAGTAGATGAACATCATGGGATGCCATTCCACATGATACAACAGCAGACAGTGGAGAAGGCATTCAGAGGTAGCTTCCATTTCTACCATATGAGAAAGAAAACATAGACCAGAAGCAGGGGAACCTTTGGGCATCTTCATGTTCTAGACCAAATCTCAGAAGCTCGTGTCATTATAGCCAATAATAAAGGATTATGGGAATTGTCATCTAAAATATCTAGAGGACTGAAGGTGTTGCACCTTTTCTGTAGATCAGAGCTTTAGCTTTAACCCAGATGTTTTGGACTTCAACTCCTGGAAGCTCCGGTTTGTGCAGCCAATGCTCAGGGATTTGGGGAGCTGAAATCCACAACAGCTGGTGCTCCACAATTTGCTGCAGAGCTTGTCTGTGACCATGAGAGTGCCAAAACATCAACAACCACAAAACAAAACAAATCAGTCCCAGGTCTTGACAGAATCCACTTCCTCTACTGTATTCACAAGTGAGGTGTTGCCTTCCTTACCTCTAAGGCAGTAAAAATTAAGTAAATTATTGGATAACTAATTGGACATCTGTTTTACATGGATTAGTTTGTTTCTAGTAATTACTCCCGTTTCATGGCCATGAAAAGAATTAATTGCAGTTCCGCTATGTTTATGTTTGGAACAGATGCTAAAGATCTCTTCATCTAGTTAGATAAAACAATAAGAAACACAAGTGTAATGCTTTTGCCTCGTGAAATGCCCTCATCAGATCTGCAACCTTTAACCCCCTGACGATAAGCTACAGACAGAACTTTATCAATTTGCAATGGTCAGGTGGGATTTTGAGCTCCTTTCTGTACTATTTTCAGAGAAGAAGTAAGTTTTCCAGAGTTGTGACAAAGTATGAGACATCATGTGAGCAGTATCTCCAAAAAGAACAATTGGAAGTGAAATTCATAAAAACAGGGAGGGCATACTTATTTTGTACAAACCATGCTGTTTGAAGGGTGGCTTACTGTACGATGAGATAGCGGAGGCTTACTGGGTCCTCTGCAAGGCACTGTGTAATTCACAAGTGCGCAGGCTGAATAAATAGAAGAAGCAATACCCACAGGCAGTCCTTAACTCAAAGCAGTTTCAGTAGGGCCTCACATAACCAATGACCCAAAACACATTGTAAATGAGTTGGAAAACACCAGGGCCTTCCTGCTGCCCAGTCAATACCAGACCATCTGTTTCCTTCTGCTTTGGGTAAGCTCTGTGCATGGTGGCACAGGGACAAGAAGGGCTTACTGGGTATTGGAATGGTTGTCAAACACACAGAGGCCTATCTCTAACTCAGGCAAGCCAAGCTGCAAGCCAATTTTCTGCTCCCACTCCCCCAGACAATCAGAAGCAAACTGTGCAAACTGTTAAACCCAGCATCTCGTAGTTGTTTTAAAGCAATATTTTTGCTTTCTGAAATTTGGTGTAGCAGTTTGCTGTTAGTTTTTAGCCAGTGTATTAGGAATTGATTAAGACATGCTCAGGCCCTAACCTCTATCAAGTTTAAGAGGCCTCTCAGCATCCGCCCAAAATGTACATTATTCTAATATACCTTTTCCATGTATGTCTGGCTATCTGAATTAGAGATTCTAGGAGACAACTGTTGTTGCTTTATTTATAATCTCACATGCTGTCTGTAGTTTGAGTAACTGGGATGCCTTTTTGGGCTGAGGTCTATTCATCCAGCATGAACCAATAATTCCTTTTAGCTTTTGAATTCAAATAGAGCCCTGCCTCTCTGCTGAGTGTTTTATCCCTCTTTTTTGTTGGTTGTGTAGTTGTTTGTTACCATTGATCTGTTTGGCTGGTTGCTAGTATGTGTGCAATAAAGAAGGTAGTATACACAAGTCTAACTTCAAGCAACTGTAAGTAAAGAATCTTTTGCATTCCTTTTACAAATATTACATTTATTTGTGAGTTACTGGGACTGTAAGTGCCAGTTAATGAGAAAGGGGTGGACTGGGGAACTTGAAGCTATTCTCCTCTGTGGGTCTCTGTACTTCTATTGTCTAGCAAAAAGAGAATTTTATTCTGGAACAGCAGTGTGTTTATGTAGTACATAAATCTGTCCCCAGGGATAGACTGTGGAGATGTGAGTCCAGACCATCATTACCATAGTAGGCATCCTTCAGTCTCAAGAGACTATGGTATCGTGCTCTGTATGGAGGTCTTGGAACAGTGTCTTGTGTGGCTGAGAAGGCCAATTCGAGAGTGACAATCCCTTCCACACTGGAGACAAATCCAATCTGTCCCCTGTCCAGCTCCCTGGTTTTGCTTGTTTTCTCCTCTGTGGGTCTCTGTACTTCTATTGTCTAGCAAAAAGAGAATTTTATTCTGGAACAGCAGTGTGTTTATGTAATACATAAATCTGTCCCTAGGGATAATGAAGAGACCGTGGAGATGTGAGTCCAGACCATCATTACCATACATTGCTACATAATACCCACTCTCCTTGGTAACTTTAGGCAAATCACCATATCTCAGCTCAAGGCAAGTCAAAGAACAGCTGTGAAGACAAAACAGGATAATTGCACATATAATTCTTTTCGCTCCTTGGAAGAAGGGAAGGAAACAATTATGGTAAATGTGTATCTAAATAGCAATATCTAATTTGGGGGCAGAACCAGATGTGTAACAAAGCATATACAGTGGTGCCTCGCTTAGCGATTGCTCTGTTTAATGAAGAAATTGCTTAGCGATACTGTTTTTGCAATCGCAAAAGCGATCGCTTTGCGATGTTTCCTATGGGGTAAATTCGCTTTGCGATGATCACGGGGAAGCGATCATCGCAAAGCCCCCAATCTCATCTTCACTCCCCAGTAGAGATGGGCAGGAACTGAACCACAAACCAGAAAAACCCGCGAACTGGGCTGGTTTGTGGTTTGGTTCATGGATCCTATTTTGCCAAAATGAGATGAAGCACCAAAGTTTTCCCCCCTCGGTGCTTCGTTTTGTTCGGCACAAGGGAATGCCTGCCCAACTCCCCTTCCACTTCCCCCTTTGGCTTTCTACCATGACTTCAAGCTACTCCACTGCCGCCACCGCCGCCGCCATCCTGACAGACAGCAGGCCCTGGCCAGCTGCATGTGTGCATGTGCTCACCACTCAGCTGACAGGTGAGTGCATGCACAGAAGCAGCAGGCCTTGGTCCTTGAAGCCAGGCCTGCTGCCTGTCAGGAGGGTAACCGCAGTGGCAGTGGAGGGTTCAAGAGAAGGTAGGGAGGTGACAAAGGCAGTGGGAGGGTGGAGGAAGGCTGGGTGGATGGGTGGGCAGCTCCCTCCAGCATGAACCTAAAAAATAAATCACTAACCAGTTCATTTGGGCGCAAGAATCATGAACATTCGTGATTCATGGTTCATGGCTACCCATGAACCACAAGCCATTCGTTTTTTGCTTTGTGCCCATCTCTAGTCCCCAGCTTCTCCAGCCAAAAAAGAGACATGAGATAGCAGAGTTGAGAGAGGCTTGAACTGCTGAGAGTCAGGATAGATAGCATGGGATTTCTAACTTGACAGGTGTTGATTTAGTACATCTACGTGTACAAATGAAGCCTTTCTACATTAGGACAAAATGTTATATTAGAGCAAAGGTGTGACAAGGTATGGGAATCTGGTAGCTGGCTGACTGGACCTGACTGGAGGCCCTCTTCCCACAACCTCTCATTGAAAGCTAGCCTACTGGCATTTAAATGCCTCAGGCAGGCAGTGGAAGCTAACATGGGCATTACAATGCACACGCTACAAGTGAGTGATCTCTTTTAGAAGGTAGCCATCTGTGAAGACTCCTCCAGGAATCTGGAGATCACAACTGCTGATGGGTCTGCCACAAGGCAAGGAAGCAGATGGTACTCCCCCGGCAGTTCTTGCTCAGTGCCTCGAGACTCTTGTTCAGCCCTCTTGTATCCATACCTCCGAGTAACAATGACACAATCAAATCTGATGTGGCTTTTAAGCTGCACATGTCTTCTGGTTTGGAACTTTCCTGGAGCCTCTGCAGGATCTCCACGACCGCCTCTTGAATACCAGCCTCAGTCAGCTGCAATTTCAGGGTATCTGCAGAGGTCATAATAAAGCAAGGAATTGAAAGCTTCTCGCTCAGTGCTTGTGATTTGATAATGTATGAGAATGGGACTTGTGCTCTTTCTCTGATTGGCAGCCTATCTTGTGGCACCCCAGAAACATACTGAGTAATATTCAATGGGAGGGGGCAGAGCATCGGGGATTTCCAGAGTGCTTTAGGCAGAGTGCTTTAGGCCAATCCCTCTCCTTTTATAAAAGCAGTTACATTTAAAAAGAAATTCAAAAGAAAAGGAGTTGTTTTAAACCTTAATCAATAGGAATGCATACAGGTCTCCGTGAAAAAGTGCCTTTAAATGATTGCATTTCATGTTTCATCTGTTCCCCAATTCACAAAGCAAACATGGCTGCCTGGACCAAAGAGACAAACAAGCCACCCACCAACTCTGGAAGGCAGCAAGGCTCTCTCACCGTTCTCTGCTAACGTCTGAAGAACTTCAAGGATGATTTCCGTCTTCTCGTGGTGACTTGTCCTTCGCAGCTGATGGACAAGGTGCTCTGCCGCCTCGGTCTTGCAGAGTGCCTCTTTAGCAGTGTCTGCAGAAAAGACTGAATTTGTTTGACTCTCCTGATTTTAAGTGTAAGCCTTTCTGTCTGATTACAGAGGAGAGAAGTGGCTGTTTTCTATTTTGGGAAGATTGGGAAGAGGGAGATGGAATGGCTTCCTCTAGAGGTGAAGGGCTAATCTCTGCATAAATTATATTAATAATAATATATAATAATAATTACATGCCGGCAATGCAGTTCTGACTTATAGTGACCCATTTCCAGGGTTTTCTAGGTAGAGAATACATGGAAGCGGTTTTCCTTTCCCTTCTTCTGTGGCCACCCTAGAACTGCGCAGTTTGCCCAAGGCAACACAAGCTGTCTCTTCCCCTAGGAGGTGCAGTGGAGAATCAAACTGCCAACCTCAGCACTGAGCTATCCAGCCAGCTTTCAATTATATTAATATTATTTAAACACTTCCCTTCTCCTCTGTAATTCTATTGTATTTTATTGCTTACACGGCCTGTTACTGAAGTGCTGTTTCGTGATATATGAGCACTATAAGGGCTTGAAAATCATTTTTTAAAATTACCTAAATTAAGGGGGGGACATGAAATGGCCCTTCCCCCATCAAATGTGAGGACTGTGAACACATTTGAGCACTCCCTGGGCAATGACAGCACACTGTTGGCTGATCCTTCCATTCCAGAATGACCATTGGATTGCTTCTGACATGAACAAAGAAGGATAAAATAACAATTAATGAATGGTGTCAAATAAATAATCATCATAAAGTGGGAGACCACACCTTACAGTGTGATAGCATATATACAACACTCTCCTTCAGTTGCAGACATTTTGCTTTGTTTCATGAAAGGTTTTTTACCAGCCTGTCCTTGAGCCTCTGGATGTTGGTGGGTGGAGGAGGGATCATTAAAGCTGAGTCTCCTTCAAATTCAGCAAAAGTACCAGGCTGAAGATTAATGTTATGCTTACCTAGCTCTGCAAGGTTGGATAAGGCCAGCAGGTTGACGCGGACAAGAGGTTCGTTGTCTGGGTAGTCAGACATTATCCTGACTAGTGATGGGATTACTCCTGCTCCCACCAGCCGCTCCTGAAGGTCATCTAGAAAAAAGTGCAAAAATTAGGGCTCCAGAATGATCTCTTGAGAACCACTATGGCCCATTTGGCACCACACAAGACTCTGAATGACAAACTTTTAGTGCACTTTTCTGAGCCATTGCTATTTTTAACAATGACAGTATTTTCATAATTACTACCACTACATAATTACTATAGTATACTACCATTACTATCCCTATACTAACAAAAATGCACTTTGCCCATTCCATGACCTCTCAAACATTTCCTTCTACGAGGACTAGCATTAAGAAGGGGTACTTTGAAATTAAGATTCGTTTCATGAACACTGTTTCTGCTTAAATTCCTTGCTCTGAGGTTTTGGCTGTTTATTATGATGGCCACAGTAATGGACCTTTCAGCCACCCACCAACGCCACCCAAATGCTGGATGTGGGCCTTGCTGCATGCATGCTACAGCATGTGGGGTTTGAGGAAATGTTTATTTATTTTGTTCTATTCTATTCTATTGCATTTATATGCTGCCCAGAGTAGACTATGTCTAGATGGGCGGCATATAAATGCAATAAATAAATAAATAAATAAATATGTTATTTATTTTGTAAAAAATCACCCATTTTTCTCCTTAAAAAGGACCCAAGGCAACTGGCCTCAGTCAAAGATAAAGCTAAAAACAGTAAGTACTGTGTACAAATATTTAAAAATAATCAAATAACTACCACACAAAAATGGAAAACATTCAAAGCAACAAGGCACAGCCATCCATTTAAAAAGCTCTCTCAGACAGATAGTTACTACTAACCATTAGCCACTATCAAGGCTTCGGCTAGCTGTTATTATAGATCATTTTTGCCCATCAAGTCACCTATCCACCCAACTAGATATTCATGTCAAAAACTAACAGCATATGGTGTTTCTCCTTTGCGATATAGAAGGAGGCAAATTATTCCTAGTCAATGACAAACCTTCAAACTTTCCAGCAGACACTCATCTTTTCTACTGACATGTTTTCAGCACCTTATTGTGGCTACTTACTGTTATCATAGCAGATTCGGCCAATGGTCCTGCCTGCGTGAAGCAGCATCTCTTGGTCTGTGCTTTCCAGAAGCTGTATCAAGATTGGCATCAAGCCAGCTTCTATGCAGGGGGTCTTCATTTCCTCTGCCGACAGAAAAGGAACAGGCTGGATTCACCTACTGTTCTGATCGTATAGCCCAGCATTGTCAAGTTCAAAGAAATGAGATCTTATTTAAGAGTATAATGAAAATGAAGCCATTAAAAGTAGGATAGAGGAGTTCTAAATTTAGATTCATTCAGATGGCAGTCTTGGAATATGGTAAAACCACTGTGTGAACTTGCTATGTTCTAAACTGAAAGGTAGCTGATATTTTTATGTATGCTAATAAGTTTGTGAAACTCATGCTGTGCTTGTTAATATAAGCAAAATACATGGTTATTGTCCCATTGAATCTCATTTTTAATTAATTTTTAAAAAGTGAATTCATTACCCAACAATTTCTTGAACATATTAACATTTATCTCACCCTTTCTGTCTCAGTGAAAATCTGGTGAGACTCCATATTCACTCATGAAGCACACTGCAGAGTTACAGCATGGTGATACCCCTTTAACTGCCATGGCTCTCTCCCTTGGAGTTTTAAAACATATTGGTTGGTGAGATATTTGGAATTCTCTGTTATGGAGTTGTAGTGTACAACACTGAATTAAAGCCTAGAGCTCTCTAGCAAAAAAATCCTAAATTACATCAGCAAACTGCAAGTCCAAAAATCCCAAAGGATGGAACCACAACACTTAAAGAGCCTTGTGGCGCAGTGGTTAAACCGCTGTACTCCAGCCAAAACTGTGCTCGCGACCTGGGGTTCAATCCCAGGGAGTCGGCTCAAGGTTGACTCAGCCTTCTATCCTTCCGAGGTCGGTAAAATAAGTACCCAGCTCGTCCGGGGGGGGGGCAATGTATAGTCTGCATAATTAACTTGTAAACCGCCCAGAGAGTACTTGAAGCGCTATGGGGCAGTATATAAACAGGACACTTTTTGCTTCTGCTTTTAAAATGATGTTGAATTATTGTAACTGCGCAGCATGGAAACATTCATATAGGGTCGTCACTGATGCATCAACAAAAAAGGACTAAGGGGAACACTGATTAGTATAAAAATGTAGACGCTGGTTTATTTGTACAAATAACTGCTGGATAGAATTAGGCACCTGGGACCCAGAGGTTGAGAGTTTATAATCTTAAAATAATAGATTCTTAGAAATGCAAAGCTGGATTATCAAATCCAATCCCTGTCAAGAAGGCACGGTGGGGGATTGAACTCCCAGACTCTGGTTCCACAGTCAAGGACTCTGTGGATTATCAAATCCAATCCCTGTCAAGGAGGCACAGTGGGGAATTGAACTCCCAGACTCTGGTTCCACAGTCAGATGCCTACACCACTGAGCTAACCAGCAAGCTGTAGTGTAAAACAAAACAGAAGAAACAAGAGCCCAAAGATGTACAGTAGCTTGATTTTGATTTTTTTTATAGCAGTAAGCTAGTTTTGCAGAACCGCAAGGAAGTCAGAAAGGCAACAGTAAGCTTCACAGCCATGGGGCTAAGGAGCAGATTGCTACACTGGAGGCATTCATTGAATCAATTCATGAGCAATCAATTACTTTTCTCAAATGCCAGGCTACCTACCATCTTTAGCGATCTCCGCCAGCACCTGGGCTGCCTTTGCTGCGTAAAGTGGGTCCCCTTGGAGAAGCCGGGCCAAAGCTGGCAAAACATCATTTTCAGTAAGGAGGGTGGAGGTTCTGTGCTCTATGGTGAGAAAAGACCCCGTTGGGTTAAATGGCAGGCCAACAGGGATGCTCAGTGCTATGAAACTAGGGCAGCCAGGTCACAACCTAGGGGGAGGGATTACTAGTTTGTGACCTTGGCAACTCTAATTTTTGAATTATGGATTGCAACAAGCTGGCTAACATGCTGTGTGCAAGGTCTGTGTTAATGGGCTCTTCTTTAGTCTTAGCATGACCATCTGGATCTCTTCAGGCAGTAGCTGTGGTGCAGGCGATAGGGATTTTCTTTTGTGTAGCCAGCTGTGCATGCCAGAGAGAAAAACACACAGACACAAAAGCCAGTTTCTAGTGTCAATTTGTTTTTCTAGCCTTATCTGTTGTCCTCTATGGGAGGATCATTAATGGCTTCGGAAGCTAGTATGGGTAGTGTTGAACTTATTGGAGGATTTATGGTTTGTTTCTTTCGGTATCCCGTATCCACAGAATCAATATCTGTGGTTTCACTTATCCAAAGTCTGAAAATATTAAAAATATTAATTGAAAAAACCCAGAAAGGCATGTTCACACAATGTAATTACCAGAACTGCCCACTAGAAAGAAACAGAAACGATGCTATGTAAGTAACCTGCTGCCATTTTGTCTAGTCTCCCAGCATCTTGAGGCAACATCCTCTAACTTGCAGAGTGTCATGGTTACCAACCACCCTCGGTTATTGTCCTTACAGGCTCAATATATAGGGTTTGCTGTCCACATTTTTCAGTTTCTGTGAGGATGTGTGTGCTTGGAACTGATCCCCCGTGGATATGCGGGTCTATTGTAATTCTTTTTTAGTTACCAGAACATAAAGTACGCACGCACGCACTCGCGCACACACACAGCGGCAGCACAGGGGAAATGTGAAGGAGAATAGTTAAAAGTGAAAATGGATTTTCATTCAGCATTTCATTCTGTTTCCTTATGTCTGATGAAGCGGACGTGTATATGAAAGCTTACTTTAAAATATAATAATCTTTAAGGTACCATATATTTTTGTCTTGTTTTGTTTTGTTTCTTTGGATTTTGCCTGATATGCTTCCAAATCTAATTCTTCTTCTGATTTCTATGCAGTTTTCTGTAGTCATTACTTTTGGCTTCTTGCTGTTCAACTGTAACCCTGCTTCTATATTTTCTTTTTAAATCTTCATCAGTAGTATTCAAATCATTACTATTTTCTGTCAGTAACATGGTGCCATCTGCACATCTTAAATCACTGTTGTTTCTTCCCTCACATTTCACTTCTCCTTTATTAGAATTTAATCTAGATTTCTGTATGATATATTCTGTATGTAGACTAAAAAGTTACATACACTCTTGTCTGACATAATTGCTAAAGACAACACATTCTGTTTCTCCTGATACTATCCTAACAGTAGATCTAACCCAGAGTATAGATTCTGCATCAGGACGAACTAATGTTATGCTGCACCCATTTTTTCTCTTTGAATGATCCAGAACTTTTCATAAACCAGACAATTAAAGAATTTAGTGAAATCTATAAAGTGCAAACTGATTTTGTTTTGAAAATCTTTGGTATACTCAAGTAGCAGGTATATATTTACAGTATGATTTTTCATGCCTTTTCCTTTCCTCAATCCATCTTAAACATCTGGCATTCTTTATTCGATATATGATAAAATTCTTTGTTACAAATTCACTTTGCTTGTATAGGAAATATAGTTCTGCAGTTACTGCGGTCTTTGGCATCTCCTTTTTTGGGGGGATTTGATGCCCCTTTTTTCGTTATCAATATTTGTTAGCACATTCTTGTTAGGATTTTGAAAGATTCAGTCAAGTAGCTTGAAATAGTTCTGTTGGTATGCCATCTATTACTGGCATTTTAATTCTTCCACTTGCTCTGAGAACAGGTGTTTTTTAAATAAAAAATGCATATGAAATAATATTGGATAATAAATAAAAATGTATTTCTGAACATGTGTCAAATGCTTATCCTTCACCTTGAGCAACTTTCCCTTGCTTCCATAAATTTAAAATTAAGAAGCACATAGCACAGCTCCTATATCAGTCTGAGGTGCAGCACTTCTGTTTTCATTATTTTACACTTCCTTAGAGGATTTGTGTTATACCTTTCTTGTTTCCTGGTATTAAGTGTGGCATTCATAAAATTCCTAGCTCCTTTCCCACCTAGATCCTGTTTAGGAAGAAGATGGAAGAACTTAATATGTGTGAATCTCTTGTGCTCTGGCCTTTTTTCCTGGAAGCCATTGCATGAACTCTGAAAAAGTTCCCGTTGATCAATGGAAAGTTTATGTGCCTATAGGTATAGGGACCTAATCTCTCTGCAAGCTTTCAAATGATCTCTTGCTGCAACTCCACTCTCCCCCATCATGTGTTTATCTGTTCCCAGATGTCTCCTGATAAACTCAGTAATTGCTGCATAATGAGTAATCACTCATTCTTAACGTGCCTCAAGCACTGTAGCATGTTAAACAGCAGGTGGCATGTGGCATGTGTCCATTTGCCTGTATTTACATGTATAGTCAATAGAGCAGTGGTTCCCAACCTTGGGTTCCCAGATGTTCTTGGACTAAAAGCTTCTGCCACCAGCTGTGCTAGCTAGGATTTCTGGGAGCTGTGGTCCATGAACATCTGGGAATTCAAGGTTGGGAACCACTGCACTGGAAGTTAGACATATCTGCTCCCTTCACCTAGTCAGTAGTGATAGAAACACACCAGATATTTAAAAGGCATCACCAAACATGCACCAACACACAAGCAAAATATAGTGATTTACCAAGGACAAATATTAAGAACACACAGAGACGAACCACTAAAAAGAGGGAAAGGGTGCAGCCTTAGCAAAGAAGAACAACTGAAGTGTATGTGTTCCCCTTTAGCAGTTAAGACTATTTTTACTGTATGTTCTATTAGGATAGAGATACATCTGCTGTGTCAAGTTTAATTGGTGTTCAGTTACTGAAGACCTACAGCATCTGGAGACTCTGCTTTTGAACATCTGCAAAGGATTGACTTGTCTCTTCTTTCATTTTTTAAAAATAATCATTCTTCCTCTTTGTTTTGTCTTCTTTCAGTCAGTTTCACTTGGCTAAGCAGTAAACAGCTTCCATCGGCTACCAGCCTGTTCATCTAGAATGGAGGACTGAATCAGATGATAATAGCGTCTATGCACCTTCCTATGTCTATCTATGCAAGCAGTTGATGCACTTAGGGATAGCCAGTTATGTCCCACAGACAAGTCCACTCCCAGAAATGCTGTCTACAATGGTGGCTACTCTTGGTGAGGATTTATGATGCATGTTGTTTTGATCAAAGCTATCCCCATAATCAGTTTTGGTTTCCCTTTCCTGAAGCATCTCCAGATGCAATCTCGTGCTTGAAATGATCCTTGGGTAGGAGGTGATTACTAGAATTCCTGTGGTGTTGAGCTGAAGCCAGTACATCAGCCCCATTCAGGCATTGTCTTGAGCACATGTAGGGTAAAATAGGAGGGGTGGGGATGTGCATGTGTGTAAGCTTTGCCGCCCAGAATGGCAGCTAGTGTCTTAGATCTTCACTTCTTAGTGTGAAGTCTGAATAGGGTGAATATTTATTTTCAGCTAAGCACACTTACAAAGCTGTTTCACAACTATATGTTCAACCCATAGAAGTCTGTGATGCTTCCAAGTGTGTAGGAACATTCATGGGTGGTTCTTATGTGCATGTCCATGTGACCACTACTCAATTTGCCGTAAATGTGTTCAATCAACTGTCTCGGGGGGGGGGCTGTGATATATTTCTCCTTCTATTGACATACAGAAAGCTAGTAAATGCAGTAGCCAAAATGAGGCCACTGAGGAAATAAAGATTGGCTCCCCCATCCATTGCTTAACCTGTTATTCAAGTTGTGGCTAGAGATGGGGACAAAGAGCCAAAATGGCGCTTCATGGGTCATCAAACCTGACCACCCATAACCACGAATTGCCCCCCAGTGACCCGACAAACAACGAATCCATTTGTCATTTGTTGGGTCATGAGGGAAAGCAGGGATCAAAGCAATCCTGCAGTGCTTTGATACCTTTCCCCTCCTCTTGCTAAGTTCCATGGGGGGGCATAGCAAGAGGAGGGAAAACAGGGATCAAAGTGATCCCACAGCAGCTGGGGGATCCCTTTGATCCCTCTTTGATCCCTTCCCTCTTTTTCTTATAAGACATAGGCATAGGAAGAGGAGGAAAGGGGAACCAAGCCATCCCCCATCCCCAGGGTAGCAAGCTGCCAGAAGGGAAAACCCCTCTCTGCTTATGCCTCGGGGCAGAGCAAGAGGAGGGAAAACAGGGATCAAAGTGATCCCACAGCAGCTGGGGGATCCCTTTGATCCCTCTTTGATCCCTTCCCTCTTTTTCTTATAAGACATAGGCATAGGAAGAGGAGGAAAGGGGAACCAAGCCATCCCCCATCCCCAGGGTAGCAAGCTGCCAGAAGGGAAAACCCCTCTCTGCTTATGCCTCTGAGGAACAGCTGATACACGGGGGCATAAACAGATTGGGAATGAAGGGACACATATAAAAGGGTTATATTTGTTTCTTTATATTTGTTGGGATCTTTGGGCCCCAGGAATATGAAGCAATGAATATCTGATGAATCAGGGATATTTAATGAATTTGTTTCATTAAATATCCTGATTTGTTTTTATATTCGTCTCCATGTCTAGTTATGGCATTGTTCCCAGTACAATTTTTTTTGAAACAACAAAGAATTTTGTAGCAGCTTAATAAAGGCTAACATGTTTATTACTTTACAAGCTTTACAGCCCATTTCATCTGTATACTATAGTATTTTTGCTTCCATGATTAGCATGGCTACTTTTTTGGAAATTGTTGTGATTTTAAAAATTGGAATGAGGACATTTTCTTAATTCCATTTATTTCCCATGTTTAGACTCCCATGGCACACCATATTTACATTATGTGACTCACAGGTATTTTCCATGGAGATTCACAAAATCTGAGCAATTGTTTGGAATTGTTT